GCAGCAGCGAGCGAGGAGCCGAGCAGCATCCCATCGACAGCTCGGCGGCCATCGCCGACTTCGACCTGCAGTCAGTTGCAGCGAGCCAGGTACTCGGAGGCGAGGATCTTTCTCCTCCCTCCACAGTCACCGGCTCCCCTCCTCCTCACCTCTTCCTCTTCTTCTTCTTCAGACTTCTTCTTCTTCTTCTTCTTCAGACTTCTTCTTCTTCTTCTTCTTCAGACTTCTTCTCCTTCTTCTTCAGGCTGTTCTTCTTCTTCAGATTGGAGACTTGATACTAGTTGGACAGAGATAAGTGTTGGACTTCGGTGGTAAGAGGTTGTGATACTTACCGGATTCGAGACTTGGAGATTGTTGGGGTTGATACTCAGCAGCATCACAGATTGGACACCGGTGTTACATTAGGACTCTATACCTCCGACATTGGTGACTTATTGTCCACGACATTTTGATCTTGTTCGATGACATTTTGGACTACCATATTGGTGACCTATTGGATTCTATCTCGGTAACATCTGGCGCTGCCTACATCTCCCACCTCCTTCGTCTCTTCTCCCACCTTTCATCTGTGTATGGTTGTACGGGGCCTGAGCATCGTCTATGATTGACGCAGACCCCACCATCTCACGATTGTTTGTGTGTTGAGTGATATCTGTACGAGTATTCATGAGTATGCAACAAGGATCAACTACCTTGAGGGCATGATATTCTACCAGGGCCTTCTTTAACTTAAAGGTCGAGGTACATTCTTTGTTCCACTTCCAGATCCTTTCCATCTTAAGGAGACTGCGAAGGGGAGCAGCGATAGTAGAGAAGTTTCTTACGAACTTTTTGTAGTAGTTGGCCAATCCTAAAAACGATCGCAACTCAGTCAAAAAACGGGGAACTAGCCAATCTCCAGTTGCTGCTATCTTGTCGTTCTCTGGTTTGATGCCATCTCCGTCTAACACATGGCCCAAGTACAAGACTTCGGTCTTGGCCCACTCACACTTTTTCGCATTGATCTTGAAGCTAACTTCTCTCGGTTTCTATAAGTTCTGCCTCAAATGGCCCTCATGTTCCTGAAGGGACTTACTAAAAATTAGGATATCATCTAAATATACTACGACAAACCTATCTAGCCACAGTTTGAACAAGCCGTTCATTCAGCGCTGAAACGTGGCCGGTGCATTGGTTAGTCCAAAGGGCATTACTATGAACTCGTAATGACCATATATAAGTCCGAAATGTCGACTTGTACAAATCATCAAGGAGTAATTCTATCTGATCTTACCCGAACTTCAAGTCTATCTTCGTAAGGTACTTACAACCTTGCACCCAATCTAATAGATAGTCCCGATCTAATAGATAGTCTATACGGGGCAATGGTTCTGCATTCTTGACAGTTATTGCATTCAGACTCCTATAGTCTCTACACATTCTCAATTCTTCCTTTTTCTTGGGGACGAACAAAACAGGTGCACCAAAAGGAGAGGAACTAGGCCTAATCTATCCTATCTCTAAGAGCTCATCTAACTGTTTGCAAAACTCCTCTAGCTCGTTGGGAGACATTCTATAGATTGTTCCCTTAGGCATCTTACTGTCAGGTTCTATCTCTATGCGGTGCTGAATAGCCCTTGGTGCTACCCTTGTGGGTGCTTCATCTGTGTCTTCATACTCCTTGAGCAAACTGCCAATAGTAGGATGGATCCCATCTTCCTCCTTTGGCTGATTCGATGCTAACTTCACATAGGCTACAAAGACCTGTTTTTTGCGAGTCTAGCGAAGGCAAAAGCACTAAGGCAGCAATTTGCTAAGGAGTCGTCAACTCCTCAAACATGGAACATACAAGTTTTCTTAATCCCACCTCAAGGACTAGGGAGCCTACCCTAATGCTCTCAAAGATGTAAAGTGGCTCCAACTGCCTCAACCCAATCAGTACCAAGTACTATGTCAAATGGGAGATTATCCTCTACGAGTAGAGTCAAGGAATGAAGAACCTTTCCTACCTTTCCATCTCCTCGTAGGCGAAAATACGCCTGGACTCCCTCGACGTACTCCTCGATCCGCATGGTCCGGTTGTCTGCTAGGATACTAACTACAGGTTCTTCCAGTTGTTGGACTTTGAGGCCTGCCCTCAACTTCTTCAACGTTTTACTATTGATGTAACTTCTAGTGGCCCCATTGTCTACAAGGGCCCCTACTCTAGATCTAAAGATCTCTACATCAGCTAATAGTAGCTGCCCCTTCTCATTCTTCTTCATCTTGGCCCCAAACTGGTCATCTCTCTTTTAGGGAAGCGCCTAGAGAGACTCTAACACAAGCAGTCCCTGGGCAGCCAGCTAGGCACTGGCCAGCAACCTCTGCCATGGAGACAGTGGAGTGGGACTTCTTGTTTTGCGCGCTCGCTCATCTCCACGTGCTCCCGGGGTAGGGCCAGCAACCTCTGCCATGGAGACACGTGGAGTGGGACTTCTTGTTTCGCGCGCTCGCCAATCTCCACGTGCTCCCGGGGTAGGGGCAGTTGCGACCTCTACCGGCGGTTGCCTTTTGCTGCCCCAGATATAGTGCGATTAGGCCTTTTGTATTTCGGGCAAAATTTTATAATGTGCCCGGAATCTCCACAGAACACGCATTGGAACTTGTCCATGCGATCATGCCAGACGTTTTGATCCAAACGTAGGGTCTCCCAAGGTCTGCCTTCCGACCGCCCTGGGTGCCATCTACCCCTTCTGGAAGGTGATCGACTCGAGCTAGGGCGGTTAGACAGGCGACCTTGACCCGACAATGGTTCTGCATTCTTGACAGTTATTGCATTCAGACTCCTGTAGTGGATACAAATTCTCAATTCTCCCTCTTTCTTGGGGACGAACAGAACATGTGCGCCAAAAGGAGAGGAACTAGGTCTAATCTATCCTTTCTCTAGGAGCTCATCTAACTGTTTGCATAGTTCCTCTAGCTCTTTGGGAGACATTTTATAGACTGTTCCCTTAGGCAGCTTATTGCTAGGTTCTATCTCTATGCGGTGTTGAATAACCCTTGGTACTACCCTTGTGGGTGCTTCAGCTATGTCTGCATACTCCTTGAGCAAACTGGCAATAGTACGATGGGTCCTATCTTCCTCCTTTGGCTGACCCGATGCTAACTTCACATAGGCTGCAAAAACCTGTTTTTCAAGTTGCTTCTTCCTTGTGAGTCTAGCGAATGCAGAAGCACTAAGGCAGCAATTTGCTAAGGAGTCGTCAACTCCTGAAACATGGAACAGGCAAGTTTTCTTAATCCCACCTGAGGGACTAGGGAGCCTACACTCATGCTTTCAAAGATATAAAGTGGCTCCAGTTGCCTCAACCCAACCAGCACCGAGTACTATGTCAAATGGGAGATTCTCCTCTACGAGTAGAGTCAAGGAATAGAGAACCTTCTCTACCATTCCCTCTCCTTTTAGGCGAAAATACGGCTGGACTCCCTCGACGTACTCCTCGATCAGAATGGTCCGGTTGTCTGCTAGGATACTAACTACAAATTCTTCCAGTTGTTGGACTTCCTAGAGAGACTCTAACACAAGCAGTCCCTGGGCAGCTAGTTAGGCACTGGCCAGCAACCTCTGTCGTGGAGACATGTGGAGTGGGACTTCTTGTTTCGCGCGCTCGCTCATCTCCATGTGCTTCTGGGGTAGGGCAGTTGCAACCTCTACCGGCGGTTGGCTTTTGCTGCCCCAGATACAGTGCGATTAAGCCTTTTGTATTTCGGGCAAAATTTTATAACGTGCCTGGGATCTCCTCGGAACACGCATTGGAACTTGTCCATGCGATCCTGCTAGACGTTTTGATCCAAGCCTAGGGTCTCCCAAGGTCTCCTTTCCGACCGTCCTGGGTGCCATTTACCCCTTTTGGAAGGTGAGGGTGGTTAGACGTGGGACCTTGACCCCTACCTCCCTCTTGGCGGTCTCTGTTGCTGCCAACCCTGGCCCTCGACCACCAGAGGCCTGGCAACCTCTACCACGGCCTCGTCCTCCTCTTTGCGGCCTCCCTCCGGTCGTGACAACAATGTAAGAACTCCCTTTCTCTGTATTGTTGTCCTCCTCCTCAAGTCCCCATTCAATGTTAGTGTAGGGGACTTCCTCTGCACCACCTTCCTCCATAGTCATATGAGACTATCTTTGGCCTTGACTTGGCCAGAGATGGTGCGACCCTTCCACTTCTTCCCCTTTGCCAGATGCATGGACTCGGCGGCAAAAGCAACAACTTCTCTAGTCAGGGTATCCTAAGTCATTCTAGGCTGCTGCCTCTTGTTAAGGAAGTGCCCTTGCAATTGCTCGGACAACACGTGATAGAAGAAGTTGGAATAGTTGTGCTTAGGTAACTCCATCGCCAGGCATAACAATCAGTTCGTCCATAGCGGCTTTCAATGCATGGGCACTCCTCCAAGGTCACGTATGGATTGTTTGGAGCTTATCGGACGAAGCAATCCTCTACTGACATCCACAAAGCGTTCTCGCAGTGCAGCAAAGAAATCGCTAAGGTTGGTAATGGCAAAATACGTGACCATGTCATTTTCGCAATGGGCAACGCCTACGAGCGACCTAGCGAAAACTAGTCGCTTCGTCCCTCAAAGTTTTAGAAGGCTATTAGGACATGGTCTTCAGGAGGTACAAATATGACATAATGCTAGCCTCCCAATTGTCAATGTCTTCAGCCTTTTTCCCACTATAAGGCTCATGGAAACAGACTTCGACTCTTTCTCGACGGGGCCTCCTCTTCTTTGGGGGCTGCTATCTTAACACCTGAATCGCGTCGATACAAAACTTTTATGTCCTTCTCATCGTGGTGCACATCTCGTTGGTGAGATGAATCATCAGATCTCATGGGCAAAGTCTTGGAAACCAGCCCGTATGGACTCGAGGGCTACATCGTGCCCACAAAGATGTCTTATTTGTTCTCACTGAGCCGCCAGAACAAACGTCATACCATGGTAGAGGGTGTCGGTTATTTTCTCTATCTTTGTGTATTCCCCCAACTTACCCAGCAGCTCTTCTGCCACCTTCAACTCCTCCATCTTATCTGCCATTTGAAGGCGCCTCGACTTCTCCCTTGCGAGGCGCAACTTCAACTCCAACTGCTTCTCCTTCTCCCTCGCCTATCGTCGCAAGGGACTCGTTTCTCTCTCCAGCTCCTCCCTGGCTGCTTCTCTTTCATCCTGGGAAACCATCAATTCGGCCTCTTGTCTTTCCCTAGGGATAGTCCTACCACCCATTCTTTCACAATCTTCTCCACCTCTCCCGGTGGAGCTAGAGCCGTACCCGCTTCTCCTTTCTCCTTTTTCTTCCTCAATTTCTTCCAAGCCCTTCACTGCTCCATTCTGTCTCCTCCTCTGTAACGAGGACCCTTCTTCGCTTTCTTCTTCCTCTTCTTCTTCTTCGACAAATTCTTTGGCCAACTTCGCCTCCTGCTCTTGTTTCCACGCCTCCATGTCCTCCTCCATCTTTTTCTTTTTGGCCACTTCTTCTTCTAACAAGGCCAGTTTGTTGGCATGTTTCTCCACAACTTTCTCTTTCCTCTCCTTCTGCTCTTGAAGAATTGGGCAGCCCTCTCCTCCTGTTCTTTGCTATAGCGTAGTCACTGCGCAGAAAGTTGTCCTCCAGAATCCTACCGAAAAGAGATGGAGCAGGGGCCCCCAGAGGGAGAGGCCCATGATGAAGGCGAACATAGGGTAGTCATCGATGTTGGAGAAGGGCTTAATCGCAACCGATTCCGCTCCTCAACAACCACCTAAACACTGATTCTCTAGACTACAGAGGTCCTCTCTTCCAAATTAGCCACGTTACCACCGTCGTCGGATGCTTTCGCAACCACAGTCCAATCTCTCCACAACCGTCGGGTGCCCGTGCACCCACAATCCAATCTTTCTTGGCTTTGGCTTCCAATTGGTCCTCTGTCAACTATTCGACACTAGTCTACTACAAGTCTGTCACTACATAACTACTGCTGATCAGGAGGCATTTAAGGAGATCCCCCATAACTCCTCAGGAATTATTTAACGTCGCAGTCAAGACGATAATCACAGACAGAGTTCTCTCAAGACGTAGACAGAGTGGACACACGACCTGCAGCTCGGAGTACCACCCAGCATCAAATACACCTCACCCCTACTCAGTCCCGTGCAGATATTGGCCCCTCGGGCTCTATCAGACCACATGCATGGAACCTACAACAACCTGGACAGGAGTGACTCAATGCAAAAAGAGATGACAGACTCTACAAGACCGACTTGATTGCAGAAGGTGAGTGTGCAACATCCACAGAGCATAAACGGACAAGGGTCAAGGCTTGAAGAGATTGAACTGCTCCTCACTCCGCACTCCAAGCTTGGTCAATGGTCAACTCAGTCAATTGTGCTGGTCAACGCTCGCTGGTCAACACTCGCCGGTCAACTCTTGCTGGTCAACTCTCTGATCAATATCGATTAGCGTCGATCAACGCTTCGGTCAACGTTCTGACGACCCGACTATGGCGGCTTCCTCTTCCTTTGTCAATTTCAGCAATTTCGCCCTTTCCTTCTTTGTCCTCCAGCTCGGCTGTGGCCGACTTCTTCTTCCTCTCCTTCGGCTATGGCTGCTATCACCTTCTTCGTCACTTCTCTCTTCTCTCGCGTCACTTTCTGTTTCGTCATCTTTCTTCTTCTTCTCCAAGATGGCATCTATGGCTGCCGTCCGCTATGGCGGTCTTCCGTGCTCATGCGCGTCCCTCTCATCATCATCATCATCTCCATCTTCGTGTCAGTCGGCTCCTTTCTCCTATTCAACCTCCGCAATGCTTGCGCAGAAAACGGGAACCAGCTCCGATACCACTGCAATCAGACTTGTCTCGACATCTTGTGGCTATGGCCTCTGAGCGCCAGTCTGAAGATCCCACCCGAACACTGTATTCACCATCAGACACACTCACACTCACTCGCACACACACACACGCACTAGGATCTACCCTAAATGTCTATGCACAAACACACACACACACACACACTAACTACTGACTTCGTCACACTGGTGGCTATGGCCACTGTCGTCTTCCTCCTCACTAGCGGCTATGGCCACTCGGGCTCTTCCACCTTCAAGCTTCTTGCTGACCATTAGCAAACCCAACGCACAAGTCGGGCAGCGCTTCCACGTAGTTCCCCAAATAATAAGTGAACGACTAATCGTTGCCTTTTCATTTATACTGTGTTGTTTAGTGGTCTGGGCCTCCCAATGTCCCAGGCCCTCAAGATATGAAGTCCCACTCTGGTACTGGCTGTCGGACCGGGACTGTCTATACCTGTGCCCCTTCGGGGCTGGACTGGGGACTCTTGACCTTTCAGAGACTGATGGACTGCCTCCTCACACTTCGAAAGGTCAAGTTGACTCTTCGAGAACTGTCTAAACTACGGCTGACTAACCTTTCGAAGGACGTAGAGCTATACCTACGGACTGACACTAAGACTGCTGATAGACAGGTCTACAATTCAAGTCCACACGACCAAGCTACATACACAAAACATTTGTACACATTTCTAAGGGCAGGTCGGGAGTTCAAAGCACAAAGAGTCAACACGCGTCTGTACAAGGAGTTAGGGCAGGTCTAAGGATCGAGTCGTGGCATCCACGATTGTCGCGCGAACTGGGTGAACCCTTTGATTTCTCTCTATCCAATTCTTCTCTGCTGCAGCATTGGTGAGTTGCCACACCAGCAGCAACACGTCAACAGGCCACGTTCGCAGTGACACTCAGTTCATGCCCGACTTTTGGTTGGCTCTCATCAGACGATGGGGGTCATCTCTCAAGCCGAGTTTGGCTCGCCACCCACAAACCGATGGCCGGACAAAGAGGGAGCATCAAACCGCACACGTTCTTCTTCGCACTCCATTCGTCCCGACTAAAAGGATTGGGTTGAGTGAATCAGGAACGTCGAGTTGGATTACAACTCGTCCATTCATCCGGCTGTCGGGATGTCGCCCTTTGAGTTCTAGCATGGCTTGCCGGTCACATCGCCGTTGGACACCATAATCCCACCTTGGCTTCATTCGACGGATGCAAGAGCTCCTTGTCAAGGCACGTGACCAGATGTCAAAGACGCAGCACCGCATGAGCCGTCAGAGCCAATTGCCAGCGTTTTCCTTGTCCATTCCATGCAGGCGACCTTGTTTGGGTCTCCGTCATGAAATTCAGCCTGGATGTCTCGCAAGCTCCTTCCAAAATGGACGGGGCCTTGGCGCATTGTAGCACCCACTGGTGACGCACCCGAAGGACCTTCATTCGTCATTCAGGTGCACGTCCACTTGCCCATCCACCCGGTCTTTCATTGTTCAAAGTTGGCTCTTTTTGTTTCGGTGGAACGCAAGAACTTTCCCGGGCGACAGTCGCAAGACCCACCCTCCATGGACGTTTTTCAGGAGGTTAGCGACATCATTTCACAGCGGAGCTACGACACCAAGCCGGCGGAGTATTGTAGCCATAAGGCTGACCGTTGGTTGACCTGTGTGGAACTTCATGCTACAGCCCCCGATGTCCTCGCACGCTACGAATGCAAACAAGGCAAGCCAGCACCTTCGGCTCCATGCCGTACTCGCGTCCAGGTTCCACCATCGGATCGTCAGCTTCACCCTCGACTCGGCTTGACTTCATAAAGAGGGGGCCGTGTTACATGCTGAGCCTGCACACAGGCCCCATTTTGGGGGCCAATGGTTGCTGGGGGCCCCAAGGCCACACGCCCTTCGGACATGCGCCCTGGAGGCCCAAGGCCAGCCTTGGGGCTGCAGGATTCGATTTGAAGCAGCATTTATTTATTCATTTATTTATTTGCTGTCCAATTTTTGTCTGTTCAGGTGTCGAACTTGCAGTTCGTCCGAACAGACTTTCAGCCTGTTCGGACAAAGGCCACGTTTTGGGCTTCTTCGTTCGCAGTCAGGCCCATTTGGACCAGGTTCGTGTTCGTCCAATAGCGGGCACTCCCTGCTGCATCAGAGGGAGTGCCTGGACGTCCGGTAGGGACCCAGAGGCACACAAGCGAGGCCCAGCGCTACTTGTAGCTGGGCCAGGCCAGGGCAGATGCAAAGTTCAAGTAGCTCACTTCTTGGGCGACACGCTGCTGGAGCAGAGCTACACGGCGCTGCGCTAGGTAGAGGTAGAGGCAAGATAAGAGGTAGAGAGGAGAGAGCGAGAGGCGGAGGCCCTGGCAGCCGTAGCTGGGTCTTCATGCCAGCGACCTGCAAGACAGGGAAGCGCCAGCCACCACTGGCGGCAGGTGAGATTGGAGGCCGGCATTCTTCTTCTTCTTCTTCTTCTTCTTCTTGTTCCAGAGAGAGGGAAAGGGGTTACAGGCAGAGGTAACATCGAGCCATGAGGCCCAGGATCTGATTCGACATTTTGTAGCAGACATTGATTGGACATTTGGCAGGGAGACTATTTCTGGACTTCCCTACCATGATCTTGGTCTTCTCCCTCACCTCCATCTTCGTCTCGCGTCCCCCCCCAGCCTCCTCAGCCGTGGTATCTCCCCATGTGCGTGCTCAAGGAGGGACCATTCTTCCACGTATGCGGTTCCTCCCCTCTCTCTCACATGTCAAGTGACTCAAGTCGTATCTTCGAGTCTTCCATTGCGCTACATTATGCTATTTTCGAATGTATCTGGATGTACATTGCTTGTTGATGCTTTGGTGACACTGCATTGTCCATCCGAGTCATTTTCATCACTTTGCGGATCCTTTCGAATGTATCTGGATGTACATTGCTTGTTGATGCTTTGGTGACGCTGCATTGTCCATGTTCATCACTTTGCGGATCCTTGGCTCCATATACATCACTCGATTGAGCATGTATCCGACTCACAGCCCAAAGTGCCATCTGACACACCAGATGAGGTCCAAATTACAAAGAAATTGAAAGAACAGCAATATCAACAGACATGGGACCAGAAGACCATACACACATTCACTCTGCAAACCCAAGGCTGAAAAAAACTGATCACTGGCAGAGCATGAAACCCATGGAAGTCGCGATATCAGAAAATTGGAACAAATTAACCAGCGAGTTACGCCCAGCCAAGAGTAACAGCTAGACCCAAGAACTTGCCCATGAACTGGTGATCACGAAACATCATCTCGCACAGGAGCACTCTATCTACGTGACTGTCCAGAATATACATACATAAGCCCACCAAACTACTTTTGAAAGTTGGACAAACAGCATCAGTCCAACTGTAGTTGGACATAATGGTTTGCACCCTCTCATCCGTTACACACCTACTGGGAGGGAGCCACCAACTGGAAGAAATCCTGAAATAATCAAGGAATGATACAGCAAGGATCAAGGTATAGAAGAAAGAGATCAGATGCTGGTCATCAGTATGTGCTCCACAGGCAATAACATATGAACTGAAGATACATTAAATGGGTGCCAGAACCAGAAGAAGGCACGTGTGCGCCACATGGCATCAAGAACATGGAGGACGACGAAGAGGAAGAGGAAGAGGAAGATGACGAGGAAGAGGACAATGAAGAGGAGGAGGAGGAGGAGGAGGAGGAGGAGGACGACGACGAGGACGGGGACGAGGACGAGGACGAGGAGGAGGAGGAGGAGGAGGAGGACGACGAGGACGGGGACGAGGACGAGGACGAGGAGGAGGAGGAGGAGGAGGAGGAGGAGGAGGACGAGGACGAGGACGAGGACGAGGACGAGGAGGACGACGAGGACGACGAGGACGGCGAAGACGAGAAGAAGAGGACGACGAGGACGAGGAGGACGAGGACGACGACGAGGACGAGAAGAAGAGGCGGCGGAGGAGGAGGAGGACAACGAGGACGGAGGAGGAGAAGAAGAGGAGGAGGACGACGATGAAGAGGAGGGGGAGGAGGAGGAGGAAGACAACGAGGACGAGGAGGAGGAGGATGACGAGGACGAGAAGAAGAGGAGGAGGAGGAGGAGGACGACGAGGACGAGAAGAAGAGGAGGAGGAGGAGGAGGA